AAACTAAAAACTCATGGAAAGAAGAAAAAGAAAAAGAGAAGGAGGAAAGAAGGGAGGGAAGGAGGGAGGAAAGAAGAAGAAAGAAAGGAAAGAATGAAGGGAGGAAGTTGGGAAAAGAAAAGGAGAGAGAGAGGAAAGAATGAAAGACAAGGATGAAGAACGACGGGCGAGGAGCCGATGTAGACTCTTTTCCTGACAGCTGAGACCTTGGCTGACTGACACATGGTCGTGGTGGTGCACAGGCTTCTGGACCTCAGAATGCATGGTTTGGGCTACCGTGTGTGCCCATTTCCCCCTCCTTTCTCCACGATACTAATTGTAGGATTTAGCTCACTCTTGAACTGACTATAATCATTCATTAACAACCCAAATGAATATCACAGGAAAATTCTCCCAATTTAGGCTGGGCTAAGACGGATATGTCTGAGGTGAGTCAAATAACACCAATGTTGCTTTTGCCCATATGTTCACAACATTGGTGGTACACTTGGGAGATCACGGCTATGTTTGTAGAATTTACAATTCAGGTTGAAGGAGAATTTTACAGCTATTTAGAATAGATTCCTAAAGACAGTCCTTTGATCTTCCCAAGACTTATATACTTGCAGGTTTGGCTGCTGTGTGGAACGAGGAGCAGGCAGCTCTGTGGAGTAGTTGGAGGCAAACGACCTTTAAACTGATGCTGATTCCCTGGGTGTTATTTGACTTCAGTGGGAGGAGACTTGTCGTAATGCGTGCACACCTTTGTACCGTCCTCTTTCTAGTTTATACTGCAAATGAGTGACCCTGTCAGGGTTGCTGGATCTCGACTAAAAGGGGCACTTGGGAGGCTGAGAGCAGCCGAGTGGGAGGGCAACTGAGTCTAAGCTCCAGCTTCCTACCTGTGAGATGGGGATTCCAGCATTCTTCCAAATGTTCCTGAGAGGATTATCTGACATCATGGAAACAAAGACTTAGCACAGTGCCTATCGTATTAGATGTTCAATCAGTGAAACCGTAATTAACCAATGCATTGCCTCATCTTTAACCTTGGTAGCCACTGGCTCCATTTCATTTTTAAGAAGATGCCCACTTCAGGCAATACCACTTAAGTTAAAATTGGGATCCATCACACACATTCTTATTTGGCCAGCCTCACAACACTAAGAAGTAGTGTGAGCAGGAAAACAGGAACAGAAGACTTCAATAACCTCCAAGTGGTCATTGAAGTAAGTAACTAGAGTTGAACCCAGAAGCTTGCATCTTTCTAATGCCACATATGTAGGAATGCTTTCACTTGAGCACTTGGAATTCTTAGGAAGCTCTTACACTGAGCTGGAATCAGCCACTCATCGAAGTCAAGTCCTTTCTTTGATATGATGGCCTGTAGACACTTGAAAACACCTACTCCTGACCACATGGCTCCCCGACTCTCTGCTCAATGGTTTGAAGCTAAGATTCACTGCATTATCATCATTTCTACGTCAAATGCCAAGCTTCCTCCAGGCATCAACACCCATGAGGATGTGGGTGTCTGGATCACTGGCCAAGGTCTCTTTCAAGGGCATTTGGAAGCATCCTCCGTGCTGGTGGTCATATTGTGAATCCTGCAGGATACTGGGTTCTCAGGTCTACAGACGGCCTTGCCAGAAACCTCTTTGTAACAGCATTTGTTCTGAACATTAGACTTATTAGTCATCTTTGCCAGCTGAGGTGAGACTGAGCAGTGTGAAGATTGGTGTAGCCACCCGCTAGAAATTATTCAAGGTGCATTCGCTCTGGACCATGCTGCCGTTGCTCTTGGGGCAGGTTTTGGACTCCTACTTAACTGAATCAGCAGAGCACATTTCACTCCCACACAGTAGTGTTCATGGACTGAAAACTGCAGATGTGAGGCTGCCGGCTTCATCTTCCTATAATTGCTGTGCAGGCCTGGGCAGGTGACCCCAGTCTTCTGTCTGTATGGAAGCCTTTGTATCACGGCAGCAGCAGACGGTAAGGAAACGTTGCAAAACCCATTAGTAACGATGAACCTAAATGCGAGTTAGAACAGCATATCCTTGGAAGTAAAACTCTGAAGACAAACTAAACCAATTCTGATCCCAGGAGAGTACGAAGGCACAGATTCTAGATTAGGAGTTACAATGCAGACTGGCAGTTTGCTCTGTGCTGCTCACTGTTGCCCAGTGGGCCCTGGGGTCTGCTGGGCACAGGCACTGGTTTGAGTACATCTGTGTGGGCTTAGGATCCGATTCCCAGATGGAGACGCTGCAGATGGTGCCAGCAGCACATACCGGTGGGATGATTCAGCCCAGTGGGGAAGGAGTAAAATCATAGTCCCAGATGGAGAGGTCAAGGCTGTGGATATTTTGGTGCCTTTCAGTGGGAGGACAACGTTATTCCCAGACATGATTGGCAACCCTTTTTGGCATAATGGAATTTAACCGTTGGCAGAGATGCGGGCTTGTTTATTACCTGATTGTGAGACAGAAATAACACTCTGGTGATCTGCTTGTCTGTGACGTATGATTCAGGATGCTGTCTGCAGGGAGTGCATGAGGAAAGGATTCATTGGATAATTTTAGAGAAGAGAGCTGAATACAACTGTCTTCTTCTCTTTGACAGAACTCTGGAAAGGGGAACAGTTAACCTGTCAAAAATGCACCTTAGCCATAGAGCTCAAGTCCACTGGTAAACCAGTTAGCCTGCCAGTCAGGACTGCTGTCCATTCATATAATTCATAATAAACCATAAAAAAAGGGGCTAGCAACAGAAAAGGCACCAAGGATTTCCATTTGGCCTCATAAAATTTATGTAATTTCCTGGTGGTAGAGACTTATTCAGGGACTATTGACTACTTTGATCCCCATTGTTTCACTGGAATTTTAAGCATTTTAGTGAGAAGGACCTGAAACTTATGCCCTTAAACATTTGATGAAATGGATCAGAAATCAAGTCTGTGTAATAATCACTTTATCTTTTCTTAATGAAAACATTGCCACCAGCTGGTTAATAAATGGATTTGACTCTTTTTCTTTTTTTATTGAGAGAAATAAGCAAGTCATTTACCCTTCTTTTAAAAAGAAATCCCAATGTCTAGTCAAGGTAATTTTTCCTCTTTTCATAAAAATTAATAGCACCTCATTAATGCCTGTCTGTCTTCAGTAATTTGCAGAGTGAAATCATCTGAAAAAGGCCTGTGCTTGCCATTCCTCGGGTGACAATGGGAAGCCTTTTTGAGGGCACTGCTGGTTTACAGGGACAATTGCTGAATTTTGTGATTTCAGTCTAGTGAAGCACACAGTGTAGTTCACCTGGCACACGGGACAGCTGGCCTCCATCCCACAGAAGGAGGGAGAACCGGGTGAGGGCCTGCCCATCATGGCAGATGTCCTTCCTCCCTCAGCCCCCAGGTGCCTCCGGATTTGGTGGGTGGCCTTCGTTCCACCGAGATGGGGTCAGGCTTTATCTCTGCATTTGTACATGACATGTCCCAAAGAACTTACTTTGGCTTTAGAACATCTTTAAATGGCCTAAGAGTTCTTCAGATGTTAAGACCCAGAACTACAGAAAAAGAGGGGGGAAAAGCCAACAGCTACACCTGTCAAGCATGAAACAGAACTCCAGACATGATCAAATTTTTATTTAAAATTTTATTTAAAAATTTCATAATCCGAGCTGTTATCTCAATACTCACGTGTACTTCTCCAGGTCAACCACGGTCCCAGGAGCAGGAGCCGGGCCTGCCACTTTGTTCAGAATGTCCTTCGCGGAGGAGGGCTGGGAGCCTTCCAGGGAAGCTGGAGGAAGCTTGGGGGAAGCTCACGGTTCAAGACACACACTGAGCACGTCCAAGTGCCAGGCACGTTCCAGGCCCCTCCTCACAGAGGGCAGAGTAAGCTCTTCAAGGTCGGGAAGTGCTGGGCTCCAAGCAGGGGAGTAAGAAGCATTACCCTGGGAACCCCTCTGATGTAGTGGCCCACTGAAACCAGGTTCAGATGAGCACGGAAAGGGCAGGGGCCAGGCAGGGCAGAGGGAGTGTGTGCACAGGACACAGCAGCCCGCAGCCCCAGCAACTGTGGGCAGGGAGGCGACACGGGGCTGCCCAGGCTGGAGGATCACAGCCATGAAAGTGGTTTTTGCTTTGTTCCCTTGAGGTTTGGTTTGATTCTAACTGCCTACGGCTGGAGTGGCAATGCCTAGGTACCTCTACCCTCCTGTAGCAGGATGCTGGTGGGTGGGGTCCAGTCATTCTAGCAGCTGCTGAATTAACCAAAGCGCAACAAGGTGTAGTGTTCCCTAAATGCATTCCATTACGAGGGCCCTTTTTACTGAACATGGGGTGGGATTGCGCCTGAGGGACACACCGGAAGGCCAGCAGTGCCAGTGGTATCTTCCCCACCTAGGGCAGCAGTGGCAGGGGACCTGAGAGTCAGGGGCCAGGTGAGGAGGCTAACGTTTCCCAGAATCTGCTTCCAGTGGGGGTGCCATCAAAAGCTTGTCGGATACATTACCCCGTCTCCCCTCCCAGCCTGTGGGGTAGGGGAGGGCAGCCCCACTGCAGGAACAAGACATGAGCTCAGAGGAGAAGGTAAACGGTCATGGCTTCAGGGCAGGCGACAGGCCTGACAGTCCAGATATTCCCGCTGGTGGGTTCCTGCTCCTTCCTCACCATGGGAGGGACTGAAGAACAGGAGGCTGGGCAGTGACCTTGGGGCTGCCTACAGCCTGCTGGTGGCCTTGAGCACTTTGCCGCCCTCTCTGAACCTCAGTTTTCTGACCAGAAAAACAAGGTGTTGGGCCTGAGCGATCCCTTGAGGACTTCAGCCAGTCTCACCTTCTCAGCCTTCCACACCCACGACTCTGTACCCCACACTCCTACCCTGCTGGAGTCCCAGACCTTCCAGTTAATGAGGAAAATGTTAAGGATTTACTGAAGAAAAAGCTTCATTTCTCCAAAAGGCTCTAGTAAGAAAGGGGGAGGGATCAGTGAGAATTTAAAATATGAAGATAAGAACTCTCAAAGGTTCCATTAGCAGTAACATCATTTAATAACTGCATGGTTTTGTAGAACTCTTTACACTTAATATTTAACTCCATTGTGTTCACAGGCAGAAAAAGTATTTATGCAACACGGTTATATTATTGAAGGACAAGTGCCCACTTCAGGATGTTACCAGTGACTGGGGGCACTTGAAATTGGTGGTAGAGTTAATATTAAAATAAGGTACAAAGCAGACATTTTGAGTTTCCCTCAGGTCTTCATAGTGATCCCTAGAAATAAAGCAGAGAAAAACATGTTTTATTCAGAAATGTCTACTGAAAAATTTTTATTAAAAAAAATGAGGCTTTTTAATTTTTTAAAAAGAAAATTTGCTTGAAAAATTCTTGCTGGGCTTCTGCCAATCTTTGCTCTTAGCACCCAGTGAGTCTGACACTTTAATAATATCAAGGCCTAAAGGAACTCACGGTATTGATTTTAGCAAGAGATGGCGATCAATCATTAAGCGGCTCCAGCTCCTCCACATCCTCCCCAGTCCTCCCTGCCGCGGGCCCCCCGACTCTGCCAGCGGATCCTACCAGACGCAGGACGAGCTTGACCTCCCTGACTCTGCCCATATGCGGCTGCGTGCTGGGGCTTCTCCCAGCTCCAGCAACCACATCCTGCATTTAGAGGATCCCCCAAAGCAAACACAGCCCCGACACTCCCCCGAAGAGCTATTTCCCCAAATTGCATGCTCTTGGCTTCAGCGTCCCAGGACCTCGATCTCCTGGCTCAAAGCTCGAGCAAATCGGAAGCAGCGCCCTGCTGTGCTTCGTGTCTGAGAAGGTCGTCCCGTCACTCCGTACAGCCCTCCCCCTTCCAGAAGACGCAGTAACCTCCACTGTGCATCCAAGGGCCGTGGGCTTCCACGCAGTGACCCAGACTTGATCTGGGGGGACAAGTTCCAGGCGCCAGGACTGCCCCTGGCTGCAAGATTTTGACAAAGAGCCCTGCATTTCCACACATTTCCACTTGGCCTTTACATGGTTTCTCTACTGTTTTGTGTTCACTCCCTCAAGCTGTGTGATTTCAAAAAGAAACAACTTCTCACTATTTGAACATCACTCAGCTGGCATAGGCACAATCCAGAGGTGGAAGCAAAGCGCAAGGAACCTCTTTCTGTGTCCCCCCGACCTCCACCAGCTTATAGCAGAACCTGGCTGGGGGCAAAGGGGGTTAACAGGAAAATTCTGGAAGACAGACTGCATTTTTTCCACTTCATCTGGTGTAAGGTTTTATTTCATTCTGTTTTGACATTGTAGGATTAATGCACATTAGAAATGCTATCATTTTATTAAAGCATATTTGAAAATGTTTCCTCAGTAAAAAGAACAGTTTGATTTAAGTCCAGAGGCTTTGCCATAATAGGCTAAGTGATTGTAAATCAATTAACCCCTTAAGCATTTATTGAACTCACGGTGCTGCTATGGTCTCGTTCCTGTTGTCACATTATCTGTGGATACTTGTTTCAAGAGATTCTTCTAGATATATTTTGTTTCCTTTCCAGTGCATTGGATTGCTTGCCTCAAACACTTCAGATGTTGGGAACATAAAATATAATAAAAGTAATACAGTTAGTGTAGAAAATTGGAAAATAGGAGAAAATATAAGCAAAAAATAAATCATCACCACAGACAACCTCCTTTAACTTCTTAGTTTATTTTCTTTTTAGTTTATTAACTTCTTTAGTTTATTTTAGTTTATAAAACTATTTTCTTTAGTTTATTTAGTTCTCTCTCCAACTTTTTTTTTAAATGTGTTTTTAGAAAATAGCCTCATACATACAGGTTTTCTATCCTGATTTTTTTCATTTTATGTAGCACAAATGTTTCTTGTGTTATTAAAAATTTAGAAAAACACATTTAATGTTTGCATAATATTCCATCATATTATTATACTGTAACTTATTTACCTATAATCCTTATCCTTTAATGCAAATGCTTGTTTTTTAAATAAAAAAATATATTGAATGCCACTCTGAGTCAGGGGTCATGTGGTGTTGGATACCTGTGTACTTTTAAAATTTTTAGCTTTATGAACTTCAGAGTGTTGAGTATATTTTCCTTACATCTATGTGTACAGCTGTAGTTATTTTATTAGGGTAAACTTCTTCAAAGGTTTCGATAAAAAAGGGTCAGCACATGTTTTGAGCCAACTTTTATTTGAAAATTTTCAATCCTAGAGAGAAGTAGAATAGTTTAATAAGCATTTTGTTTAGATTCACCAATTGTGAATAGTTTGCTCATTTTTTCTCTCTCTCCACACATATACACATACACACACACACAGACAATCTTTTTCTTGAACAAATCTAACCTTTGGAAAGTAACTTGCCGATGTCATGACATTATACTCGCTCCTAAACACTTCAGCCTGTATCACCAAAGAAAGAATAGTCTCATACATTCTCATGCAATCATGGTACTTTCATCATGTCCCAGAAAGTTACCATTTATGCAGTAACATTAACCAATATATAGTGCACTGATTTTTCCCCAACTAGTGTCCAACTGGCCCCCTAATGTCCTCTACAGATGTTAGTTTTTACAATGTTGTTTTGTTTGTGCCCTTGGTTATAATATCTTGTTCCTCCCTCAACCCCAGGTTTAGTGTAGTATAACTTACACTGAGTAAAATGCACTCTTTCTAGGTGTAGAATTCTATAAATTTTAACAAATTTATATAGTAATGAAACTACTTTGTTGGTAGTTTCAAAGTATAGAATATTTCCCTTATGGCAAAGAGTTCCCTATAGCTTATAAATCAGTCTCCTTTCCTGGAAACCACTAATTTGATTTCTATTCCTAAGTCTTTGCCTTTTCCAGAATGTCATATAAAAGGACCCATAAAGAATGTAGCCTTTTGAGTTTGACTTCTTTCATTTAGCATAAAGCTTTGGGAGTTACCTATGTCCCTGCCTGTATCAGTAGTTTGTTCATTTTGATCACTGAGTAGCATCCATCACATGGATGTAACACCATTTGTTCATCCATTTGCCAGTTGATGGCCATTTGACATGTTTCCAGTTTTTGGCATGATGAATAAAGCTGCTGTAAACATTTGTATGTGGGGATTTGTGCACTTAAGTTCTTTTAGGTAAATATATAGGGGGTGGGGTCACTGGGTCCAATATTAAGTGTGTGTTTAGTTTTATGAAAGAGGACCAAACTGTTTTTCAAAGTGACTGCACCATTTGCTTCCCCCTCAGGTGTGTATGAGAGTTCCAGTTGCTCTGTATCCTAGTCAACACTTGATTTTGTCTTTTTGTAAGGTTTGTCATGGATCTTATAATTTCAATTGGCTTTTCCCTAATGAAGTTTGCCATCTTTTCATATTTTTACTTTCTATCCATTTCTCTTCTTTGGTAGAGTGTCTGAATGTCTATTCAAAACTTTTGCCCATAGAGGTTGCTTGTTTTCTTAATATTGGGTTTTGAGAACTCTTTATATACTCTGGGCATAAGTTCTTTATCAGTTATGGGTTTTTCAAATATGTCTTTCCATTCTGTGGCTTGCCTTCTCATTTTCTCAATACAGTAGTTCCTCCTTATCTGTAGAAGATATGTTCAAAGACCCCCAGTGGATGTCTGAGACCATGCATATCACCAAACCCTATACATTCTGTTTTTTCTTATACACACATACCTATGATAAAGTTTAACTTATAAATTAGGCACAGTAAAAGAGTAACAACAATAACAAAAATAGAACAGTTATGATGGTATGTTGTCATAAAAGTTACATGAATGTGGTTTCTCTCTCTCAAAATATCTTATTGTACTGTATTTACCTTCTTGTGAGGATGTGAGATGATAAAATGTGACTTAAGGTCACAAAGGTTTTCTCCTGTTTTCTTCTAGTGGTTTTATAATTTTAGGTTTTACATTTAGAACTATCCACACCAAGCTAAATTTTCATATGGTATGAGGAGTGAGTCAATGTTTATTGTTTTGAATATAAATGTCCAGTTATTCCAGGGTTGTTCTTTGAAGAGTATTCTTCCTCCATTGGACTAATCTACTTTATAAACAAAAGTATTTAAGAGCAAAGACTATGTAAGTGCTATTGACTATGAGCTATTAGATTTCATAGTATATATATATATATATATATATAGGAACTGATTGGGCTTTAGCTGATGAAGGCTATGAATGCAATACTAAGGGCCCAAGGACACAGTCTTCTAGGTGCTCATTTGCTTGATAAAGAGTTTGGATAAAAAGGGCATTTAACTGCCCTTCCTCCCATACTAGAATTTAATGTTATGTAACAAAATAATAAGCCTTTATATAACTCTTGTTTCTTCAAAATATTTGTGCTGTTATTCTGGTTTTATAGATCAAAAGAAATTTAAGATACAGAAAATGCTAATTTTTCATACTTATTAGACTTTAAGGAAAACTTTATGTTCATAAGCTCTCTTTGCACTTCACCATATACCCCTGGGGCCTCCAGTTTATTCTCTGTACCATACGGGATAATTACATGAAAACAAAATGCAAACTGGTTTTGATTTTTTTTTCCAGTTGTTTTTTTTCCCCAGGGACTTTCTTGTTGCCTTTCAATCACAAGTAAATTCTGTATTCTTATTCAGTATTTATGCATGCCTTAACGTGAAAAATAATAGTTTAAATATACCATGAAGGGACAAGAGATTTCCTTCCTGCTCCGTTGTTTAGCAGATGAAATGCTGGCGCTGAGTCTGCCAGTTTCCAAAAATTGGGCTGAATCACAAAAAGCTGTCTCTGCATTGCAGATTCAATATTCAGGCCCTTCTTTCTGACTTGTTAGCTAGCATAAATGTGTGGATATCAATGGCATCCATGTTTATCACTTTTCTACCATCAATGTGAGAGTGGTTCTGATGAGAGACGCCCCTAACTCTCCCCAGGGCATGGCCAGGTGCAGCGTCTATGCTCTTGTTAGTCCCCACCAGTGAACACAGTCTAAGTGAATGCACTGAATCGGGAGGCTAACGGCTTGGGCATGCGGTGCATTGAAGGTGTCTCTGACGCTCTCTGTAATTATTCATTCTGTAATATTTCAAAGACCACCATGGAGCCAAGGGAAGGGGTTAAACAAAGAACAAGAGAGGTGTCCTACTGTCCTGGAGCTCAAGGCCAAGTGGGAGAAGCAGGTCATGGTGCCTGCTGCCCCTCATACACGAGGGGCTCTGGGGCCAGAAGCCTGGGAGCCCCCTGGTCAGTTCTTCCATGGTCCTCACGGCGATTTGTGGGGAAAGGTGGTTAATTATGGACCTCATTTTGCAACAAATGCAGTAAATCTCATCACAAGTACATGAGCCAAAGGTCTCCAGTGATAAATCGTCTTCCTGATCCATTGTCTTCACCAATTCCCAAGCTCATCTTCATTCCAACGACCTTGTCATCTGCAGTGAACACATTCCATTTTGTCTTGCGATTGTTGATTGAGTGTTAAGCGTCTGCTGAAACAAACCAGATCTCACTCTTCATCGTCTGAATGAACAATAAATTCATCCCCCTTATCCAAGTGATGTCTGTTATTTTTCCTCCTTGAAGAAAAACAGCGATTTGACCACAAACTGGAAAACCCAGACCAGTGCCTGCTTCCAGCCTAGTCAGCTAGTATCCACGGAGCACAACAAACACTGAAGGAAACTTCCTGCTTTATTAACATTTGAACAAAAATTAACAATAAATTATTATCTCTTTTATTCAATGTGTTTTTACCATTCCACTCAACACTGCATTGGTTAGGAACGATTTCAGCTACAAACAGCACTCTGACTAGCAACAGCTTAGCTTATGATATATTTGACCCACAGCACAAGAATTTAGGAATTCAGGAGGTGGCCATGTAGAGCTGGTACAGGGGCCCCAGAAACGGCCATTCCACAGGACCATCTTTGCACTCCGTGCCTTACAGCAGCCCTCCTTGTCTGCTTGCCATCTCCTGTCACAGGGTAACCCATGTTGCCTGGCATTGGGAAGGAGGCAGACAAGGAGGAGGGCGTGGGGAATGGGCCTCAGAGCAGCTACTTCCAGGGAGAGAAGGGGAGCACTGGGGAGTTTGCCCCACAGGATCAGAACTTGACCAATTGCAACTGAAGTCTTCATTTCTCCTTCACTGATAGGAAGGACTTTGACGTGGGCGCCACTCAGACCCTAGCTTCCCTGGTGGTGAAGCCAGCCGAAGCTGCGCTCTGGAGCCTCTGCCTGACGTTTACCCTCACTTGCTGCCCCTGCCCTTCCAGTCCTGTCTCCTCATTCCTCTACCGGTTCTCCTGGGATCACTTAATAAATGACTTTACATATATCTGCATCTCAGGGGTGCTTCTCAGGAACCCAAACTAAGTATCAGATGTCATCATTTTAACTTTATCAGGGCATCCAAATGTACAATTTTTTCCCTAGTCAATCCAGCAATTACTAAAAAAGTACTCACACATGGTTGAAAATTTCTGCGCCATATCTAAGCCCTCAGGTGCTTTGTGGCATAATTAGTGTTTATAGATACCATCATCATAAGCATTGTGAACACAGATCAATATACTATGACCAACTGCAAGTAAAGACTGGAGTTAAACTCAAGTCTCTTAACCATGTATTTAAGCACAGGATTACTTTTTAATTGCAATAAAATGCATTCTCATCATGCCATTTGAGAAGGGTATATTTTTCAGCAAAGCTACTTGTACTGGTTTAAAACTATAGTCAGTCATAGTGACAGGGTGGGGCTTTAACGACTTTTCTCCTGTAATGTGAATTTCACCATTCAAGTGATTTCTGAAACTAAGCTTGATGGAAGAGTCAAGTGAAGAAAAATAGTCACAGATTTTCTCAAAAGTTTGCAAGTTGGCTATTAAATATCTCATTATGACCTTGGTTTTATGCAATGTATTGGTTTCTTGAACAGGTGAAATTAAGATTTAAGCATATTTGCTCTGCCACAATTATAATATTCATCTTTGAAGTAACTTTCTAAGAACAAACATCAATACCTTTTACTTCAGCTGATGTCACTAATTTCTGGTATGCTGGCTATGCTTGAACCAAATTCTGCTATGTCAAGTTCAAGGTCAGAAGCCTCAGAGGTGCATCTGTCTCAATCCTCAGTGATTCCAGAAAGCTCTACATATCTTCATTATGTGGTATATTTTTGCTCATTTCAGGCTTAGGCTTCTGCCTTTCTATTTAGAAAGTAACGTGTTTCACGTTCCCAGTAGAAAATACAATTCTTAAATCCTAACGCCTTAACGGGCCAGAGGGAGAACAGCACTAACTCAGGGGCAGCCGGCCCTGCCACCCTTTCTGTCATGAGAATTCATTGCGCTGGAACCATTGCAGTTTGTCAAACGCTGCATTTTGATAAAAAAGTGCTCAAGCCAACACAATGTCAGGAAGGTAAAGGGGCTTCTGCAGGCCAATTTTACTTTATGTCATCAAACCCTGGCTTAGGAAGTAACACATGCACGTGGAAATGGCTTCCAGTTCAAAACTTTGCACTGAGGACATGTTTTTACTTCCTCAAAATAGACCTCCAGTCACAGTAAAAACAAACAAACAAAAAAACACAACAGGGAAAAAATTCATGAAAATATTACTATACCTTGGAGTAGCAAATGAAGAATGATGGGAACTCATAAAACCCATTAAAAAAATTAGTATGCTAATTTTATCAGGGAACTCTCCATGGCTGACCCTTAGCTAAGCCTTGTTTTTCTGTAAACAAAGCATTTACAAGGAGGTGAACTGATCAACAGGAACGAGTGACATTTTCTCAATTTAACACCAGCTCATCAACACAATCTCATTGCTCCCCAAACCTCACCTCTCAGTTCAAGGTGGGCCGTGAGCCACACATTGGCCATTGGCCTACCTCTAGGGGGGAACACATTGAACTGATAGGGAAAGATTACCAGCAGGAATACATTCAAAGGATATTTGGTGGATCAGAACTTGGAAACTTCAGGTCAACCCCAGCTGGAGGGGCTTCCCTTAGGACATGCGCCCAGGAACTGGAATCCAGGAGCAATGAGTCTTCCCGGTGGATAGCATGTAGGCCAACGGTGGAAAGAGCTGGAGTAAAAGTACTATCTATTGAGGACTGTCTGTACATGGGGTTGACCCCACTTCCACCATGAGCCATGCCGTTATCCCCCAAAACACAAGACTAAGATTCCGCACCTTAAGGAAACTGCATCACCAGCATGGAGAAACCCAGTTTTGACCTCTTCTTCAGCACCCACTGTGCAATAGGCATGTGCTAAGCCCCAGTAGATATGAGAAGCTGATTCTCGCAGCTCCTGCTTCATCCATGCTGTTCTCTGGACACCCTGCCAGGGCTCCCTGTAAAGAAGGCAAAGCAGGTTTGGCAATGAGCAGCCACCTTCTACCCTCTGGAGTTCAGACTGGTAAATCACTGACACTCGGTGAGAATTCTCCCAGCACTGTCTATTTCTAATGTGAACCAATTGGGCCATCTATTGGGTACCTTTTTAACTACTGTCAATGCTCCAATGAGCTCACTGTCCAAATTTACATGCAGCAGTGGGTTCCAGGGCCATGCCAATCAGCAAAGTTCAGAAAACTCAACTTACTTCAGAAAAAAGAGGCTTGTGCTCTGCCCATCTGTTTTGGGGGAACCAAAAACATCCCTGTGGGTAAAATTATAGTATTTCCAGAATATCTCACCTGGCTTAAGTAGATCTGCATATCAATAGTCATTCAGAGGTAGAAAGAAGTATGGCTTTAGTGCATTTGCATCATCCTCAGGGGTGGAGAGAAGTTCACACCATGTCAATGGGTAATTACCTGGGCAACCCAGAATGAGTCTGAACCTTAGAGTTTAAAGGGAGGGGCCGGCTTGCTTGCTTGCTTAATTGCTTCTTCAGGAGCAGAGGGGAGAGCCGTCCCTGGACTGCAGTTTGTAAGCAATAAACAGGTTTTGAACTTTATTTCTCCCTTTGACTGATTTCGGTGTTTAGAGGTATTTTGCCCCAGAATTTCCTCTCTCCAGACTTAAAATCTCACTATGCAAATAATGACTAACCAGGAACTTGAACAAGTAGTTTTGCTGTTAGACTCTACCTGGATCGGCTTCTTACGTTTGGAAATACTTCCAAGGCAGCGCATCGGTCTGCTCCGTCATCCCCACTGGGCCTGTGGCGCAGGGCAGGCGGTGAGCTCTGCTGGGCACTCACAGCTCCCAGCCTGCTTGGTTTGTGGAGGACCTCTGACCAGAGTCTGGGTGTCTTAGGGCGAATCCAGATGGAGGAAAGACCTTTACTTAAAAAAAATTTTTTTATTAAGGTATCATTGATACACACTCTTATGAAGGTTTCACATGAAAAACAATGTGGTTACTACATTCACCCATGTTATCAAGACCCCACTGAAGTCACTGTCCTTCAGTGTAATGAGACCTATACATTTTTAGTGACATCTTTTCATGTAAGGAAGACTCCAAGTCCCCATTGCCAAAACTACGACAAATCCACAAGCTTGGTGGTGCATCCCAGGCGGCCACCTCCCGGGAGAATTCCCTGCGCCTCACCCTCCCTTACCAGGGCTGGTTTCCAGATAGCCTGCGGCTCATCCTCTTTACCCTCCAGGGTTCTTAGCATCCTGAAGGCTAACGGGGGTCTAAATAGCCCAAGGAATGTGCCAGAAGGTGCTAGAAAAGGAAATGGTTTTGTTGTTTGGGTTGTTTTGTTTATTTTCTGAATGACGGAATGTCCCGTGTGTCTGGCGTCTGTGCATCAGGGGATGGCCCAGGGGTGTGCTGATCAGGAGAGAGGAGGTGGGTTGGAGGGGTGGTCCTGGGTGTGTGTGGGGTCAGTCGCAGAGGAGTGGAGAGAAGATTCCTGTGTGGGAACAGGAAGAGAGGAGAGGGATGGGGCCTCCGGACACAGGGCGGTTGTGGAAACTAAATCACAGAAGGGCTGGCTCTCCGGGGGCCTTACAGATGCCACATTCCCTCTGATCCAAAACTGGGAGTGTTTGGCTGTGATTCTAGCGTTGGCCTCCTGGGTTCTAACAAGTGCAGACTCTCCCCTGTATTTCATTCTGACAGTGGGTAGGGAGGCAGTGGCACTGTGGTGCAAACACAACTTTGTTTTTTTTTTTATAGTAAGTAAAATTTCCATTAGGATAAACTTATAAAAGCTACTAGGAACATTATACACGACTGAAAAATGGGTGTATTTTGATAAGCAATTGGAAGGATGGAGTTGTCATTACCAAGGTGTGGGAAATTATGGGTCAAGCAAATTGGTGGGGAGAGGGGAGGAATGGAAATTCAGTCAGGGGAAATTTAGAAAATGTATAATAACAACAAAAATCTCCACATTAAAAGAAAAGCTAAACAACCCAAAATTAAAATAAGGAAAGAATTCTAACAGGCAATTAATTGATAAAGAAGTATGAATGGGCAGCCAAGCAAGGGGGAAAAATGTAGCCTCATAATCAGAAAAAAAATCATGTAGAACATTAATGGCATGCATTTCTTTCCAATCAGATTGGCCAAGATAAAATAAAAGACAATATCCCATGCTAGTGAGGATGTGGTTCCCTGGGTAACCAGGAAATGTTTTGGAAACTAGTTAGGTTACTAACTTGCATGAGATAAATTGTCTTCACATCAATTTAGGTTTTTAGGTTTTACTGAACTCTAGTGAGCTATCTTTTTAAGAAGGAAGATTTTCTTTCAGTTGGTTGCTCTGTTAGATAGATAGAGGCTACTTCTAGACTAGAAAGTTAAACTGAATTTTGAAAATAAATACTAATACTTTCCTCCCTTTGCCAAATTTGATTCCATTGAACAAGCCATTGAAATACCAGAGGAATTCGGGGGCATGAAAAGTAGCAGGGTTGATATTGTTTATTACAGTCCTGAAATAACAGATTCTTGACCTTTGAACAAGTGTTCAAGAGGGCATGGAAACAAAGTTCAGGGGTTAAGTCCAGAAGAAATCACTTTCTATTGCTGCCATTGCAGTTAATTTTGACCCTGAGGATGGTGGGTGTCTAATCATTAAGTATAGATAGCCCCTCCTAAATGCATTGGAAAAGATTCTAAATTACCCAGTTCTACATAAACCACAGTCACTAGATGTGCAGCTAATTCTCCTGATGGAGACATGGCTCTGCCAGCTTTAAAAAGCCAGCGCACGCAGACAGCATCCCTCACTCGGACTGTGAGGTCTGGGATAGCAGGACTAGATCTATTTCATCTCTGAATCTCTAGACCTAGTATAGTGCCTGGCATAGAGAAATCACACAAACGCAGAGAAGTTGCTCAACTAATTCCTGATAAACAAATGGATCAGGTGAGTAGGTGGAGAGTGGATGAGAGGATGGATAAGACAGTGTCCAACAAGAAACAAAACTGAGTTTTCACTGCACAGCAAAGTCTGTTCCAAGCCCAAGGAAAAGCCTGTCTCCAAAGAAGCCTTGGTAGACATGTGGCCAGAAAAAAAGACCCAGCGAAGTAACCAATTCTGAAAAATTTTCAGAGCCAGTTGCTTATGGGAAGAGCTCAAGCTTAAAGATCTGTCTGTCTTAGAAGTGTTCCTGTGAACTGGTTCTTTCCTGATTTTGCAGATTTAATTATGAAGGAGGGCTTTCTTATTTTTAAATAGCTGGATAAAATAAAAAGATTTTGTTTGACTACCCACATTCCTAACTTTGCTTTCGTAAAAATGCTAGCAAAAGAAGACTTTCATTTTAATTCTTAGGATTTTATAAGGAAGGCAAGCTGAATTTGTGGGTTATTTTGAAGCAAATGACATTTCTTTCTTGGTCTTACTAGTTAAATTATGCATCGAGTGTCCTATCTCTATGAGGCAAATTCAGACGAAGGTCTGTGTGAAATCGCTCACCACATCATTAGCCACGTGTGCTTTGCTCACTGCCTATGCTGATACTCCCAGGGCACAAGTGACAGATAGGAAAGCGACTTCTGTGTATGTCCCACTTCTCTGAGATTTATAGCTCTGCACCTTCCGTGGAAATTTGTGGAGCAAAGTCTCTCTAAACTTTACAAAATCAAATTTTTATAATGTCAATGTGAATACAAAGAAACTGGAATTAAAATAAACTGGCATTTCAGTTCCTTGCCTCCTCTTACAAAAAGAATGGTTTTGCAAAGGAAAATGAAGTATTAAAGACAAAATAAGATATTCTTCTCTTGGCTGTCTCTGGCCTTGGAAATTGTTTGATAAAGGAGCATGGAAAGAACTTGAAAAACTCTGACGAAAGAGAAAAATGGACCAGCTCGATGCTTTGCAAAGGGTGAAGTAAACACTTGTTCATTCGATTTGAAAATATTTGGGGTTGAATCTTTTAAACAAATAATTTTTAAAACAAAATTTTAGCCTGTTTGTAGTTACATAACTTTCAGAAATGAAATTTTCTCTCCCCACATTAGGGATGTCAGTGGGTCATAACTAGGGGGCCAGCTGGAGAGCAGAGGCGGTGATGGTGTTAAACATGGGTCCCCAGCCCTGAGGGATCTTGCCCCCAATGAGGTGGTGGCCATACCTGGAGACATTCCTGGCTGTCGCAACCTGGGTGCAGGAAGTGCTGTCAGTGTCTCATGGGCAGAGAGCAGGTAGCTCCACAGGAAGGAATTTCCTGCCAACGTATCAGTAGGGCAAAGGTAAGGATGTGCGGAGTAAAGGCTCTTGGTAGAGTTGAAGGCCAGGGCTGGGAGGAGCTTCTGCTACCAGAGCCAGGAAGAGGGGTTCCCAATCTCCCCCTTCTGGGTGGGAAGGTCAAAGCTGGTCATCTCCAAGGAGTGCGGCCAGCACATGGAGTCAGCAATCAGCACATGTTTCAATGTACATTTTTGGTTGCCAACCCAAACATGACACCACTAAATTAAAATTAATCTTCACCAAATCGTGCTTTCCCTTATACAAATAATTTTAAGGAATGTGAAAACTATGCTCCTCTTGCTAAATGGGAAGGAGCCAGACATGTTCTAAATTGTACTAAAATAAATTTGAATAAAATCATTAATAATATCCTGTTTAAAAACGCAAAATATTCTACACATAAGATACATTTTTAAAGTGATATACTTACAAAAAAATCATGAGATGATTACAAGCCCTGAAGTGTTCCCGGAGACTATCTAGTCTTGAGAATGAGATCAATGAATGAAGACAGGTGGGAACAGAGAGATGCCGAGGGACTTGGCGAGTAGAGGGGCTCATTGTGTCCAGTCTGGGCCACGGCTCCATCCACCCTTTCCTCTGCACCACACAATCCCGTCCCCACCGAGCCTGCTGTCAAAAAACCCATGTGCCATTTGCTATTGAAGACATTGTATCTGCTATGACCAAAGACTTTTCCAATATAGATGCTCTTTAGAAACATAACTTTTGGAAAAAATTAGATGTTTAGCATTCAACCTAAGCCAGGAAATGCCTATTGCTTATCAATCTCCTTACGTACTTATAGTGAACTCACTTCACTTTATATCCCTTGTAAGGATTCCCTCTGTGGCTGAATTTTCTTTTTATTATACCAGATAAAAAATGGTAGCTTCTGCCTCCAGACTGTTGTTCACAAGAACTACCTACTCTTCTATGCAATTCTTCAAATTGCATGAGGGAAATACTCTAAAAGTAATAAACTGCATCAAACCTAAGACCTCCTTAATTGCAACTAATGAGTGCAGCGTTCATGCATCAGCCTTTCATCTTGTCAGACGCAGTGGAGCCCTGACTACACAGGACCTGCAAGATAACTTCATCTGGGCTTCTGCTTATTGCTCATCATTAACGATTTATAAAATATGCCCATGCTTGGAGCCAGAATAATGTTCAGTGACTGGCAAGTCATTACCAGGGTCAAGTATGATTATTGTAACTGGAATATTGCGTGATGTGCCGCTAAGTTGTTCCCTCTGATGAGCAGACAGCGAAGATGAGGGTTGTGATGTCCTGAGTCCCCACAAGTGGAGAAATTACTTAACTGCCATAAAGCTGTCCATCTTTCTCCTTTCTTTCCTTCAGTCTTTTAAAGGAATATTATACACTGCTATGAATACTATGCTGTAGATACATACTACACACTGTGCTATGTATATATACTGTGTACTATGTACACATACTACACACAATGCTATATATACTTACTGTACACCATACTATATTCACTATGCTATATGCACTTACTAACTACACAGTATATGCTACATTCTCTGTAGGGCACTGTGCTACATACACACTGTATATAGTATGCTGTATACACATACTGTACATTGTACAATGTATATAGCATGTATATTAGATAGACTATGTATATACTATATGCTATATATTCACTGTGCTACATACAAATGTTATACAATATGCTATAGACACATACTACACACTGTATGATATAAATCTACTATGTACTATATACACGTTTTATACACTATGCTAAATACACTTAGTGTACATTGAGCTACATATACATCCTATACACTGGTTCTGTACACACCCACTCTACATGCATATTACACACTATATTACACATTCCTACTATACACTCTTATACACTGTACACTACATCACTAGGCTAACTAATATGCCAGGAAATGCTGACTCCGGTTTTGCAGTTTTCTCCTGTTCGATGCTGTGGTGGACTCAAACATAGCTCCAGTCCCCAGGGCTTCAAATTTGAAGTCTAAGAGAGTCTCTGATTCAGGGTCACCCGGCTCTCTTTAAATTCCTGCTTTTTTCATTGTCCTTAAATGCAGTTACTGGAGGATTCCAATTGTGTCCTGCAGCATAAACTTGGACTCACAAATGAGCCAAGTCTGACTTGCCTCATTCCTACCTCTGCCCACAGGTTCACTCAGCCCTTTTTGTAACAGAGTTGTCCTTTCTTCCCAGAGGTGCTTGCTTCTTGTTCATTTGTATAAACTGAATTTTGTTAACTCATTTGTTCCTTCCTCTTTACCATCACTGCTGAGGAGAGGAAAGACTTCGCACTGCGTGGGGCAGCCTGCAGGGTACCGAGCAGGTCTTTCTATCACGACGGTCCACCCTTGCGCTAACTAATGTTCTTCGGCCCGTTTGTAAAGTGTTGTGCCTGACCCCAGGGCAGGTCCAGGTTTGGTGGGGCATGAAGCTAATACACTTTGGGCTACTTCTTTAATAAAGAAAATGCAGAATTATAAAGACAAAAATTGCTATGACAGTAAATGTTTATTTTAAATGATGTTACACAACACATTACAAAATTTTAAAAGCTGAGAAATCTGCAAGCATTACAAGATTCAGAAAAGAGTAATATATTTTCCTATATATTTGCCTGCATACTTTGGCATCTTTTCATACAAAAATAATCTGGCAATCATTTTCTATAAAGCAATGCTGTCCAGTGAAAATACAATGTGAACCCCAAATTGCAAATTTCAGTTTCCTAGTAGTCACATTTAAAAGGGCAAAAAAATGAAGAGGGGAGAAAAATTTTAATCATATGTTTCACTGAACCCAATATAGCCAAAATTTTATACCAAATATTACTAATAAAAATATTAATGAGGCCTTTTTTCCTTAATAAGTGTTCAAATTCTAGTGTGTGTTTTACACTTCCATCACTTCTCAGTTACATTTCACGTGCTCTGTGGCCACACACATGGCTGGTCGCTATTATATAGATCTGAGCAGCTTATTAGAAACACGGTGTAAGATTTAAACAGTCGGTAGGAGTCAGGGAGGGTTGTAGAAATGGGTTTGCTGCCCATGAGAGGAGCACAGCTATCTGCCTTTGGGTTAAGGACCAAGGCCCATGTGCGGATCACTGTGTTAAAGACAATTCTCCATGGGTGCCCCAGTATTTCGGCACATCTTCTCAGTAGAATACTTGGTGCCTTTTTTCCTGGACTCTCTTTCCAAGGATGTTTGCACAGCAAATGACCTTGGAAGACAGAGTGTCTCCCTGTAAGGCAAAGGGCAGATTTGTTTCCTGACCAGGATAATAAAGGTCATGTGTCCCTGCAGGAGGAGGTTGGACAAGCTTGCTAGTAGTCACTTATAAGATTGGGGGGATTCCCAACCATATATGGTCAATTAATATAAGATAAAGGAGCCATGGACATACAATGGGGAAATGACAGCCTCTTCAACAGCTGGTATTTGCAAAACTGGACAGCTACATGTAAGAGAATGAAACTGGATCATTGTCTAACCCCATACACAAAAGTACATTCAAAATGGATTAAAGACTTGAATGTAAGTCATGAAACCATAAAACACTTAGAAGAGAACATAGGCAAACATCTCCTGAATATAAGCATGAGCAACTTCTTCCTGAACCCACGTCCTCGAGAAAGGGAAACAAGAGCAAAAATGAACTCATGGGACTATATCAAACTAAAATGTTTTTGTATGGCAAAGGACATCATCAACAAAACAAAAAGGCATCCTATAGTATGGGAGAATATATTTGTAAATGACATATCTGACAAGGGTTTAACATCCAAAATATATAAAGAACTTACACACCTCAACACCCAAAAAGCAAATAACCCAATTAACAAATGGACAGAGGATATGAAGAGACAGTTCTCCAAAGAAGAAATTCAGATGGCCAACAGACACATGAAAAGTTGCTCCACATCACTAATCATCAAGGAAATGCAAATTAAAACCACACTGAGAATATCACCTCACATCAGTAAGGATGGCCAGCTTCGAAAAGACTAAGAACAACAAATGCTGGCGAGGATGTGAAGAAAGGGGAACCCTCCTACACTGCTGGTGGGAATGTAAGCTAGTTCAGCCATTGTGGAAAGTAGTATGGAGGTTCTTCAAAAACTAAAAATAGAAATACCATTTGACCCCGAAATGCCACTCCTTGGAATATACCCAAAGAATAGAACTTCTCAGATTCAAAAAGACATATGCACCCCTATGTTTATTCCAGGCTTTGCCTCTTTTTGGTTTGGTGCCCCATTGTCTCTCCTCTTCGGTTTACTAAACTTGACCTTCTTGATTCTCAGCTCTGCTCAGTCCCCTGAGTTTGCAGTGCATCACTGCCTTTAGCTGCATTCCGTCTTCTAGGTCCAGCTCTGCAAATCCCCCACATATGCTGAGGCATTCCCTAATATTTTCCCTCCAGAGGAGGAAGAGCCAATATTGAAAGATCATTTAACGACTTGGCAATTTTGTGGACATAGAAAAATTGTATAAGTGATCATTTTGTGATGAAAACACCATGCTGTAGTGCACAGAGTATTATGAGAAGCAGTAAGGAATTAAGGCAAATGCTAGTAGATGCATGTCCCATTAAGGAGTGTATCAAAATCTCCTTGAAGAACTAGGGATAATTTTTTTTGCTTATCAACGAATGCATGAGCCAAAAAAGGCTGAGAAGAATGTCTTAGCACAAACTAAGCTATTTTCAAAATTTATATATGAGTATAAATGAGAAGCAGGATGGGAGTCAGGGAGCCAAGCTCATCTCAGCAGCTGCATAGAGGAAAAGCAGGAAAGTGATTTTTTAAATTGAGTCCTTACTAAGCCCCAAGCACCATGCTGGGTGTTAACAAATACTAATTCATTATCTTCACAGCAGCCCTGGGAGGTAGGAGCAGTTGATGTCCTCCTGTTAGATCGTCCTTGCAGAGCAGTGAGGAAACCACTAGGCTCCTGGGCAGTAAGTGGAGAATCAGTCCTCCACCCAGACCTTCCGCTCCAGAGCCCACATCCAGGCATTAGCAACACGCCAGACCACCTGTGAAATCAGGAGTTTTCCTTGTACTTGAGCTGCCCGCCTCGGTTGTACCGTGTTGAGGAAGCTGGTTCGGTATTGTTGGACTAGACTTGGTGACGCCCCCCTGCTGATGATCCAGGAGGGCCGTTGTTGAAAGGGGCCCA